CCCAGGCAGGTCTCGAACCTGCAGGCTCAGGCAATTCACTCACCTCAGCCTCCCAAAGCGTGGGATTACAGGCTAAGCCACTGAGTCCGGCTGCTAATTTTTGATCTATTGTAGAGATGAGGTCTTGCCAAGTTGCTTGGGCCGGTTTCGAACCTGTGGGTTCAGGCAATTAACTCGCCTCAGCCTCCCAAAGTGCTGAGATTACAGGTTGAGCCACCAAGTCTGGCCAGCCTCAACTTTTTGATTGTTAAATCTTTTGATTTTTTTGACATTTTGCATATCTTATCTTATCAGACCTTTCTGTAACATTTGACTAACTCTCTCTCTTTTCTTTTTTGAGATGGGGTCTTATTCTGTCATTCAGGCTGGATTGCAGTAATGTCATCATTCCTCACTGTAACTTTGAACTTCTGGGCTCAAGCGATCCTCCCACTTCAGCCTCCTAAGTAGCTAGGACTATAGGGGCATGCTACCATGGCCGGCTAAACTTTTTATTTTTGTAGAGACAAGGTCTCACTATGTTGCCTAGGCTGGTCTCAAACTCCCAAGTTCAAGCAACCCTACCACCTTGGCCTCCCAAAGTGCTGGGATTACAGGCATGAGCCACCGTGCCTGGCCTGCTGTGTGCCTGACACCTTCTCCTTCCCTGTCTTTTGTGATACTCCTCTCTCCTGTTCTCTTTCTCTCTCTCTCTATTTCTGTCTGTCAATGTCTCCTTCCCACTGCTCCTTCATGTTCTCTGCCCATCGCTCAGAGGCTGGCACTCCCTGAAAGTTCTCTACTTCCCCATCGCTTTTTGCCTTATTCCACCAGGGTACTGCATTCCTGATGACTCTGTTTTCGATTTCTAACCCAGGTCTCTCCTGCAGAGAGGTCCAAACTCACAGTCAGGTGTTCCCCTGGAATGTCCTACAGACCTGCGAAACCCAGTGTATCCAACACTGCATTCTCTACCCCACTCCCACCTGTGAAACCCCTGCTATCTTCTCTATCTTAGTGAAGAATGCCACCACTGGCCTAGCTGCCCACATCAGAAACCCAAGTCTTTCTTGCCTCCTATCTCTCCAGTGTCAGTCCCTAAGCCCTGCCCATTCTATTTCCTCAGTTTCTCTCAATTCCATCTGCTTCTCTCTATCCCTACTACCAGAGCTTGGGCTCACTTGAACAACTGTAAAGCTGGTCTCCCCATCCCCTTTCTTAACCCAACCCATCCAGATATATCTTTTTATAACAAATTCATTCTTGTCCCTCTACTGATGCGAGCCCTTTCACAGCTCCCTAATGCCCACAGATACTTTAAACTCACTAGCAGAGTCCTATGGGTAATAGGAGGATCCCAGGTGGAAATAGCAAGTTAATTCAAATAGCAGAAGCCTGGAAATATTGAGGGTGGTAATTCTGAAAAGGCCAGAGAGCTAAGAAAGAGCCATGTGATGAAGGGCCCTCGCCCAGAGGAAGAACCAACAAAGAAGATTGAAGAGAAATGGTCAGTGAGGTCGAAGAATGGCAAGAGAGTAGTCCAGGAAGCTGGTGACCAGGGTTTTAAGGAGGACAGTGTGAGGAACCATGTCATCACTGAGAAAGGATATGGAATGAGAGAGGATCACTAAATCTGATATTTAAATTTCTTGTTTGTCTGTTGAACACACTCAGATCTCTTCCATCTTTTATCTATCTATCTATCTATCTATCTATCTATCTATCTATCTATCTATCTATCTATCTACCTACCTACCTACCTATCTAATTTAGAGATAGGGTCGCCCAGATGTGCAGTGGTGTAATCCAGGCTCACCGCAGCCTTGACCTCCAGAGCTCAGGCAATCCTTCTGCCTCAGCCTCCTGAGTAGCTGGGATCATAGGTGTGTACCACCACTCCAGCTTATTTTTGTATTTCTTCTACAGACTAGGTCTTCCTATGTTGCCCAGGCTGGGCTCAAGCGATTCTCCCTCTGCAGCCTCCCAGAGTGCTGGGATTACAGGTGTGAGCCACCACATCTGGCCTATTATTTTGCCTTTTTGAGCTGGCGTCTCAGTAGCCTAGGCTGAAGTGCAGTGGCACGATCACCGCCCACAGCAGCCTTGACTCCGGGGCTTGAGCCTCAGCTTCCTGAGTAGCTAGGACTACAGCTCATCATCATACTTGACTAATTTTTTAAATTTTTGTAGAGACGAGGTCTTGCTATATTGCCTAGGCTGGTCTCAAACTTCTGGGTCAAATGATCTCCTGCCTCAGCCTACCAAAAGGCTGGGATTACAGGAGTGAGCTATCACACCCAGCCCTCTTCCATCTTTAAAAACAATCATCCTTGCATCCACCATGGCTCCATCAGCTCTTGAGCTACTGTCTGCTCTCTTCTTTTTTATAGTCAAAGGTATTTGAAGCTATCTTTACTTGTTATTGCCACAGTGTTTAAGGTTGGCGATTTTTCCCCCCAAATCTTTTTTTAAAATGTACTGATTTGCCTATTTATTAATTTAACAACAATTGGTAAGCATATGTCTCAAGTGAGATGCAGAGTGGTGAAGGGAATGGCTTTTAGAGCCAGACAGACCTGACTGAGTTCCAGCTCTGCCATTTTTGAGTCATGTGACCTTTGGTTAGCTACCGAAGTTCTTTTATGACTCAGTCTCTTCATCCATAAAGCAGATTTAATAATAATCTGTCCCACAGGGTACCTGTGAGGACTAAATGAGAAAAGGCTTTAAAGCCCTCAGCACGGTGCATGGTTTGCAGTAGGACATAGTCTCAACGGGAGCATATTGCCTACACTAACTTTCAATACCAAGTTCTCCAGTCATTTGGTTTTCCTGCTCTTCATCTTTCAGCTGTTGAATTTGTTCTTTTCAAGCACAGCTATATTTTCCTTCTTTATTTCTCCATTCTCTTACTCCAAACCTCCCTAAATAAGCAGCAGAGAAATTTCTCTGCCAGTAAGTCATTTCTTTGCTCTCTCTCTCTTTCTCTTTTTGAGTTGGAGTCTCACTCTCACCCAGGCTGGGGTGCAGTGGCACGCTCACGGCCAATGCAGCCTTTACCTGCTGGCTCAGGTGATCTTTCCGCCTCAGCCTTCCAAGTAGCTGAAACCACAGGCACGCACCACCATGCCTGGCCAACTTTTTTGATTTATTGTAGAAATGAGGTCTCGCCAGTGACCCAGGCTGGTCTCAGGCAATCCTCTCGTCTCTGCCTCCCAAAGTGCTGGGAGTACAGGTGTGAGCCAATGCACCTGGCTCCTTTATACTTCTCTAAAGTCTTTTGTAACTTTCTTACATGAAGGATCAATTTCTTTGCTGCCTTTCTCTTGAATGTATATTTATGATTAAAATAATTAAAACAGAAGGTGCACGACAAGGTACTTTACAAGCCAAAAGATGGAAATTTCACAAAGCAGGAGGATCGTCTAACAGTAAAACTACAACAAGTTCGTCTTGCAGTTTAAAAGGTGGCAAAATCAAAGGGGAAGCCAGAAGGCATGTTTGATAGCCTCGGACCTACCTCAATGTATGCAGGCTCTGTCCCAGCAGGTGAGATGTGTGGCTGCCAGTCTTTAGGTGGCTTTGAAAGGTACTTGGAATCTGTAACAACCCATTTGAGCCGGGGCCAACCTAAATCAAGCCCAAAGTAAAAATTGAATTGACTAAGCCAACAGGGAAGGAATGCTCACTGAAATGGTCATTTTCAATATTGAGAGACCAAATTAAGATCATTTTATAATCAATAGAAGACTTTATTTTTATTAGTTTTCAGTGATAAATCACCAGACAATTATACCTTTTTTCAAAAGTACAATCGTTCCACACATTGATTCCAGGCCTTGGCATTACCTGAACAACTGGGAGGCCCATTTGGCAGTGGAAGTCCACTGACGTTAATGGTCTATCCTCTGTCTCTACATGCAGCATTTAGCTTTAATGTACAGACTGGAAGCTTTTTCCAACCATCAGCGTAAAGGTTAAGGGTGTGGGCTGCGGAATCAGACAGATTTGGGTTCAAATCACCGCTCTGCCATTTATTAGCTGCGACTTTGGGCAAGTTACTTAACCTCTCTGTTTCTCAGTTTCCTCACCTCTAAAATTAGGGTAATAAAGGCACCTACTTCATACACATATGAGAATTAAAAATGAAAATATATGAAAAGTACTTGGCTATTATTAAATTAAAATGCTCATTAAAACACTCAGTTTTAACTTTTAACTGACAACTCAGGTACACATATTACTAACCTTTAAACTGTACAATTTCTCCATTCTGGGTTTTTGGCAGTCCTTTTAGACAAACTTCACTGGTAAGAGCTAAGGCAACACCACAGCTTCCTAGCAAGAAGCCAATCTGCTGACCTCCAGCATCCTGTAGAGAAAAGATAATGAACATGGCAGGGACGCAAATGTGAACACAGCCATACCCCAAACCTAACACTCAGTCATGTTCTGGCACTTGTGTGGAAACGCCCACGGAGCCCCACTGATATCTGGCAGATGTCAACATCCAATGACAATATGTTCTTCCAAAATAATTTCTATAATATGATGATGTCCTAAGTACAAATCAAGCATTTTAGTAACCTGACATTACTAATGATGAATCTACCAGCCTTTTATTCAAGGGTTGGCAATGATCCTCTTTTAGACTAGTTTCGAGGAAATGAGATAAATGTTAATATGTTTATGTTGCCTTCTCCTTATCCCACCCCCAAATCCAAGATCAAACCAATTCACACCAGAACAAAATAACTCATGTAAATGGACACCAAATGCCCAAATTGACAAAAAAGTCAATGAATGGTTATAGCAAATCCATACACCAGTTTCATTATTCTATTTTAAAATAGGTAGATTTTAGCCTTACAACAACAGCAGCAAAAACAACAACAAAAAACAACAAAATATAGTCTAAAGTATTTGCATTAAAACATCATCTTAAAAGTATCATCATGAAACCACACAAATTCTGCCAACATGATAATTTAAGAACAACCAAATGATTTCCTGATGTCGAAGAAGAATAGTATCTCATAAACTAGAACTTCAGGAATGTTATCAGTCTGTATTCCTCTAGGAAAATGATTTCTTATAAATCCATGTTATCTGCCATATTCGTCTCTGACATTCATCCTCAGTAATAAACTGCACATGAGTGCAGTTAAAAGGTAGTGTCAAATAGTTCATGGAGAGCTTGCTCAGTCAAACATGGCAATCTCTGTCAAACATATGCTTTGTTTTAGTAAGGCTGATGTGCTGTCAAAGTCAAATCCTATAATCTAGAGAAGTAATACACCATCATGGTATCACCGTCCACTTATTGGAACTCTTAGGTTGTATGACAGAGGAAATCCTTTTACAAAAAGGTCTCAACTGCCGTTAATATGGATTACCTATAGTCTTGGAAGCAAGAGCAGGACTCTTTACAAATGGTAATTGTTGAAAGTCAAGTATGCCCCCATGATATTTTAAATGATATCCAACTCTATAAAAATTCTATCTTAACTGAAAAACATGTTATTTGGATGACACATGAATATTAATAGTTTTTCTATAACTTTCATGTTTTTAGAAAGTGAAGCCAAGTACTTTAAAAAAGGTCAGACTGCTTCTAGTATCTTGAAAGAGTCAATCAATCCAACAAGAACCTGATGCTTGACATGTGACATTAGGCTACATTCCTCTTAAAATTGGTAATGTTACCTTTCTGGTAAGAGGTACCTCTATAGGCACTGGAATCACTTCTGCCAGGAGACATCCATAAAAAGCCACCATAAACATGACTGGATCGTTGTTGGGGTAAACCAGCGCTACCTAAGATTCATAAAGACATTTAATAAAGGAGGAATAAAGACATACTAATAGCGACTTTCAAGATCACTCTTCAGGTACATAACATTTACCATATAAAATAAATTGAATTACTTAATAGCCACTTGCTCTTAAGGAAATTAAGTTACTGTGATGAACACACAAATCTAAAATGATCGCCAACATGCCCACAATTATATTACACATTTTGGAAACTATAATGCAATTCATCATCATCATCACCATAAAAATTTTGCACTTAATTCTATTGGTGACTTAGCAGTAAACAGTGCCCCTTATGTGTTACTGACTTAGGAAACTTAAGGAAATTTACTTTCTAGCAGGGCTATATGTTCAGATAGAACAGCTTATTAAAGAATAACCTTATATCTCTCAGGCAGAGCCTACAAATGCTGACTGACTTGACTACCACCTGAGAGCCAATGTAAGGTTTCTTGCTCTTTAACCAACTTAATGCCTTAGTCCTTATTCACTTACCCAACAGTGCTTTTGGTCTAACAGGAAGGTATTTGGTAATACGTGTAAGCAATACTGACAGAAACCATTATGGATACAAAGTCAACTCATTAACAAAAGACAAACAGTGACACCTTTCTAATATGTTCAAAGCTGTGATCTCACCTGTGACACACCACAGGGATAAATGGCTTTTCCTAATTTACTCAAGGGATGCAAAAGCACAAAAGTCACTATCACTGTGGGGTTTGTTACTTGGTTTAGGTATCCACAGAGTTAACATCTGAAACTTAATCCTGTCACTGGACACTTGTCTCTCTTATTTTGCTTTTAAATTCTCTTAACTCTTTTCCAAGAGAAGTTAAATTCTGAGCTTTTAGATTTTCTTAAAGTCCTGGAAAACTAATTCCACAAGTCATTTAAACAACCTACTTCCTTCCCCTACGGTGTCCATATTAACCAGGTAAACACAAAATCACCTTTTTAGGATTCAGTGAGGACTCGGAAACACTCAGGTGTGTCACATTGTTAAGTCAAAGTCATCCTTTAGGTGCCCTTTGCCACAATGCAAACGTATTTTTAAAAGGTGCAGTTAAAGATATTCTGTAATTGTGAGCCCACTAAAAAGAAGTCTATTGTATAGTTGGCATTTCAGTCTATGAATTCCAAATGAAAAGGAACACTTGATGGTAAGAAGTAAACATATCTAGAAAGTCATTAATAGGAAAAAAGAACTTCAAAAATTAAAAAATATTTTTAATGCCACCTCTAATTCAAGGAGAAATAGGCCAGGCTCGGTGGCTCAACCTATCATTCCAGCACTTTGGGAGGCCGAGGCGAGTGGATTGCCTAAGCCCATGGGTTTGAGGCCAGCCTGGGCAACTTGGTGCGACCTTGTTTCTACAATTAAAAAAAAAAACAACAAAAAAAGCTGGGCGTGGTAGCTTGTGCCTGTAGTTCCAACTACTTAGAAGTAGGTGAGGTGGAAGGATCGCTGGAGCCCAGCGGGTTGATGCTGGGGTGGCCATGAGTAGGCCACTGTACTCCAGCCTGAGCAACAGAGTGAGACTCCAACTCAAAAAAAAAAAAAAATGTCAATTTGTTTTTCTTAAAAGTAACATGAGGTTGGGTGAGGTGGCTCATGCCTATAATCCTAGCATATTGGGAGGTCAAGGGAGGAGGACTGCTTGAGCCAGGAGTTCAAGATCAGTGTAGGCAAGATCAGTGTAGGGAGACCTCATCTCTCCAAAGTATTAAAAAAAATCAGCCAGGCATGGTGATGTGCACCTGTAGTCCCAGCTACTCAGGAGGCTGGTGGGAGGATGTGGTAGGATTGCTTGAACCCAGGAGTTTGAGGCTGTGGTAAGCTGTGATCAAGGCACCATGCTCCAGCCTGCGTGATAAAGTGAGATCCTCCACCTAAAAAAAAGTAAGTCAGGCTGGGCTCAGTGGCTCAGCCTGTAATCCCAGAGCTTTGGGAGGTGGAGGTGAGTGGACTGCTTGAGTCTGCAGGTTCGAGACCTGTGTGGGCAACTTGGCAAGACCTCATCTCTACAATAAATCAAAAATTAGCCAGGCGTGGTAGCACGCGCCTGTAGTTCCGGCTCCTTGGAAGGCTGAGGTGGAAGGCTCGCCGGAGCCCAGCAGGTCGAGGCTGCGGGGGCTGCTGCACTCCAGCCTGGGTGCTGG